AGACAGACAGACAGACAGACAGACAGACAGACAGACAGACAGACAGACAGACAGACAGACAGACAGACAGACAGACAGACAGACAGACAGACAGACAGACAGACAGACAGACAGACAGACAGACAGGCAGGCAGACAGACAGACAGACAGAAAGACAGACTCAAATAATTGGGAAAATGGTGTAAAACGTCGAGATTTGTTTTAAAAAATCTTAACTTTTTGCACAATTACAACACTTACCTCAGTACTCCGCATATGCAAGAAAGTAAAAAGATATAGATCTGAAGGGAAGCATTTCATTTACCTCAAAGTCCATGTTGAAAAACTTATCTTCTTCAATAGATTGTTGTGGAATCAAGATGGTATCTGTTGTAATATTAATAGTTAAATTGATAAAGAGCAACGAGGAAAGGTAAATACAAAACTGATACAAGAAAACAAATTAGTTTACAGACATCACTTAAGTGTTGCTACAGTATGTGTTGTACAGTAAATTTTCCTAATCTATTGAATTAAAATTAAGGGACATTTAAATATTGACATATATAATATTGTCTTATCTATATGTTGTGTAAAGGTTTTGAATTCTATAAAATATTTTAATATTTTTCAATAATTTTTAATTGAACCGTTAGTTAAACCCTTTATTGTTTGTTTAAAATGGTATATTATATATATATATATATATATATATATATATATATATATATATATATATACATAAATATAAATATAAATATATATATATATATATATATATATATATATATATATATATATATATATATATATATATATATATATATATATATATGCGTTCGGGCGTGTGTGTGTGTGTGCGTGCATACCTGTATGCGTGCTGTAACAAACTGTACTTCTTGTATGATTTATTATATTGTATTTAATATGAAGGTGTATGAAATTAGAGCACCTGGCCAACGGATGGACTGTGTAAGCTACTATTGTCGTTATTCAATTATTGTTACAGTCAGATGTGATAAACGTTTTGTTACATTGTCATGTTAGAAATGATTAACGTTGTTACATTGATGTCAGTAGCGGTTTTCTAATATTCTTATTAGGAATTAAAGTGTTAACTGATGTCAGAAATGATCTTCCATTTAGAAGTGGTCTTCTATGTGCGCAAAGATAGGCTATTAGTAAATGTTGTATCGTAAGTCCATCAGTGAATGGCAGTGAATTAAGTCCATCACTGAATGGCAGTCAAGATGATTTGATAAGTCCATCGGAGTATGGCAGGAATCAAGATAAAATAAGTCTATCGGGCGATAGAAAACCAATGATGATAAATAAGTCAGTCAAACAAAATAAGCAACAATGGAGAGAACTTACCTATAGAATAATTACTAAGAAAATTGGAGTAAAACTATAAAAAAGATATATTAGAACTCCAAAATAAATTTAACAAAGAGATGTTGATTATTAACAAAGGAATTTATGAATAAATTGAAGTCAATTAAGAATCAAAAGGAAGTTAAGAAATATGAAACAAGAAATAGAAGCTACAATGAAATTAGTGAAGCACAAACTGAAAGTAGACGAAATTTATTAAGTTATGCATACAGTAACCATAATTATCAGAAGCCAAAATCTTACAGTTGTTTTTACTGTGGAAAAAACAGGTCATTACCAAGATCAATGCTGGTATAGATTGGCAGATCAGAGAAGAAACAGTAATATACAAAGAACTACATGTGGTAAATACAGCAGTAACAAGAATTTAAGAAAGAATGTATCACGTTACGATCAGAACTACAATAGGGTGAACAGATATACTGATAGAGGTACCAAAACCTAGAAATATTATGAGAGGCCAAGGCAAAGCCATAATATTTGTATTAAGTTAGTTGATAAACCAAGCAAACGAACACAAATTGAGAAAGCTACTGACATAGATCAGAAACTAGAAAAGAAAGAAATACAAATACCCAAAGAGGAAAAAGAAAACGGTAAATATGAAACTATTAGCAACAATATAAATGAATTCAGACTAATTAAAAGAAATCAATTGAATGATCATGGTAGCAAAGCTAGAAAATACACAACACAATTTGAGGGAGAGATGGCAAACAGGTCGTCATCAATTACAGAAGGGTTGAAACTCATATGAATTATGAATTGATATCATGCTAAGTATCAAATTCATGAAAGGTTGAATAATAGTTACAGTCATTACTGTAAACGTTAAGGACTATTTATATCGCATAACTATAAGACGGAACTCTCAATGATGAATCATGTATAGGTCAGAGCCTGTTGATGGCAGGAATGTTGTTGATGTGTTGTGACCCAGATGTGACTTAAATGGGTCAACTAGGGGAGACAACAAGAAAATTACTCAAGCGTGGTAATAAAATGCCTTGTTGGTAAGGAAGGTTACTACTGAATATGTTATGATGACTTTTTATTGAGTATTAAAATGAGTTGATATGAATTACCAGATAAGTCCTGTACCAATTTAGTTTGAGACATATTTTACTCAATTGATGTAATGTTGTTTAAACTACAGTCACTTGGTGATTAAAATGTTTTTTTTTCCTATTTGAACATATTTATGTATTAACTATTACACATAATGCTTGTGCATTTTAAAGTGTTTTTCAAACACTGACACATTTTAATTATCAGGTTTAAATCATCATTGATTATGTTACAGTTTTGTGTATGAACAAGCTGATTGTAATTTGTGCCACTGTATAATAAAATTTTGAAAATTTTCTAAACACTTATTGATCTAAACATATTGTCATAAAACTTTTCAATTTTACAATCTAGTAATTATCGAGTAAGTGATAGAATCACTACATACTGTTACATTTTTCTGCACTATAAACGTCTGACTACAAATGTTTAGTCTATACTGAATGTATTTTCAATCTACTTTTTGAGATGTACAGAAAATTTTGTTGATCCTGCCCTACTGACATTGTACTTGAAAATTTTGTGCAACAAAATTTTATTTGAAGATGGGACGTGTAACAGACTGTACTTCTTGTATGATTTATTATATTGTATTTAGCATGAAGTTGTATGCAAGTAGAGTACCTGGCCAACGGAAGGACTGTGTGAGCAACTAGTCATGATTTTCGATGCTGTTTGTGAGATCGCTCACTGACGTTAGGGGAGATAATGTAGGGTATAAAAGGGGAGCGTAAGGTTGACTAGGTGTGCCTGTATAGTGACTGCATAGCGCCTGTATAGAAGAATGTTGTAAGCTGTCACCACGTCACTCTGTCTCTGGATTGCAAATTGATTGCTGTTATTTCACTATGGATTTTCATTATTAATTCCCATGGATTTAATTTATTAATGTGAATAATCTTGTATGTTGAAAGAACTGTTATTTGTATTCACTGAAGAACTCACAATAACAACATATGGTCTCATTTACCAACACGCGTTGTTACATTGAAGTCAGAAGTGGGCAACGTACATTTACATTGGTGTCAGAAGTGGGCAACGTACATTTACATCGATGTCAGAAGTGGGCAACGTACAGTTACATTGGTGTCAGAAGTGGGCAACGTACAGTTACATTGGTGTCAGAGGTGGGCAACGTACAGTTACATTGGTGTCAGAAGTGGACAACGTACAGTTACATTGATGTCAGAAGTGGACAACGTACAGTTACATAGGTGTCAGAAGTGGACAACGTACATTTACATTGATGTCAGAAGTGGGCAACGTACAGTTTTATTGATGTCAGAAGTGGGCAACGTACAGTTACATTGGTGTCAGAAGTGGTCAACGTACAATTACATTGATGTCAGAAGTGAGAAACGTACAGTTACATTGATGTCAGAAGTGGGCAACGTACATTTAATTTGATGTAAGAAGTGGACAACGTACAGTTACATTGGTGTCAAAAGTGGACAACGTACAGTTACATAGGTGTCAGAAGTGGGCAACGTACAGTTACATTGGTGTGAGAAGTAGGCAACGTACATTTACATTGGTGTCAGAAGTGGGCAACGTACATTTACATTGGTTTCAGAAGTGGACAACGTACAGTTACATTGGTGTGAGAAGTGGGCAACGTACAGTTACATTGATGTTAGAAGTGGGCAACGTACAGTTACATTGATGTCAGAAGTGGAAAACGTACAGTTACATTGGTGTCAGAAGTGGGCAACGTACATTTACATTGATGTCAGAAGTGGACAACGTACAGTTACATTGGTGTCAGAAGTGGGCAACGTACATTTACATCGATGTCAGAAGTGGACAACGTACAGTTACATTGATGTCAGAAGTGGGCAACGTACAGTTACATTTATGTCAGAAGTGGACAACGTACAGTTACATTGGTGTCAGAAGTGGGCAACGTACATTTACATTGGTGTCAGAAGTGGACAACGTACAGTTACATTGATGTCAGAAGTGGGCAACGTACAGTTACATTTATGTCAGAAGTGGACAACGTACAGTTACATTGGTGTCAGAAGTGGGCAACGTACATTTACATTGGTGTCAGAAGTGGGCAACGTACAATTACATTGGTGTCAGAAGTGGGCAACGTACAGTTACATTGATTGTCATATATAAATACAAGTCAAGTTCTCAAGTTATCTTTTGTTACAATGTATTGTTACATATAATTGTTTTTCAAATTGGATTTAGCAGATCAAATTTAACAGTGTCAGTCCAAAACCGGACGTGATAGGTAAAGCTCACAACACAAGTTTCCTGCAACTATCTAGACTTTTTTTACAAAAAAAATTGGGACGTATATTACCTAATTGAACTGTACAATCTGAATTGGAGATATATTTATTATAAACATTTTTCATGGATTACCATCTGTCAAGTGTCTACTGACAAGCTACAAACCATAAAGGGGTGTTATATTTTAGTTAATCCAAACATTGTAAACTAATAAACTATTTCTTTATATTTTATGAAATAAGCATTATATTGAATGTGATTATTTCTGTAAGAATAACATTATAAAAATGTCTAGTATGGCAAAATGTATAGCAATGGCGGAGAAGCTAAACATTAAGATGGAAGACAGGTTGGCGTTTGTAAAACAACAGCAAAAAGTAGAAAAAGAAGAAGAGAAGGCTAAAACAGAAGAACACAAGGCTAGAGAAGAAAAAGAGAAAGCTGATAAAAAGGAAGCAAATGACAAGGAAATGGCTAGAAGGTTAGAAGATAGAAATTTGGAAAAAGAAGCAGATGAAAGGAAGAGGGTAACAGAAAAAGGAGCAGATGAAAGGAAGAAAGATAAAAATGACAAAGATTTAAAAGCGCAAACTGAGAAAATACGGCTTCAGAGAGAAGCATTTGAAGCAACGCTTAAACTAGAAATAGAGCTAGATGGATCAAGAGCTTTAACAGACACAAATGAACCAAAATCAGAAAGTGAACAGGCAGAACTTAAAGCTGAACTTAGAGAAGAAAATATGGGCGACCTTAAGAATAAAGAAGAGGGTATCATAATCCAAGTAGAATTGAAACCCAAGGATAAAATAATGAGTGAACTTTCAAGGTGACACAATGTCTTAAGATTGACTCTTTAATCACTCATACGCATGTGCGCAAAGATAGGCTATTAGTAAATGTTGTATCGTAAGTCCATCAGAGAATGGCAGTCTACGTGAATTAAGTCCATCAGTGAATGGCAGTCAAGATGATTTGATAAGTCCATCGGAGTATGGCAGGAATCAAGATAAAATAAGTCTATTGGGCGATAGAAAACCAATGATGATAAATAAGTCAGTCAACAAAATAAGCAACAATGGAGAGAACATACCTATAGAATAATTACTAAGAAAATTGGAGTCAAACTATAAAGAAGATATACTAGAACTCCAAAATAAATTTAACAAAGAGATGGAGAAACTAACAAAGAAACTTATAAATGAATTGAAGTAAATTAAGAATCACAAGGAAAACAAGAAATGTGAAAACAAGAACTAGAAGATACAATGTAATTAAACCACCAATTGAAAGTAGAAGCAGTTTATAAAGTTATGCATATAGTAAACATAATTATCAGAAGCCAAAATCTTACAGTTGTTTTTACTGTGGAAAAAACAGGTCATTACCAAGATCAATGCTGGTATATGTGAGCGGCTGGAGTGTGTTTATCTGTTATTATAATTATTTGTAACTAAGAAGGCGAATGTCGCTTTTTATGTTCCTTTGAGGATTGTTGTGGTTTTTAGTTAAGTAGTCCGCTATTATGGCGCTGATATGATTTCGATTTTACAATGGTTTGTAGCCTGGTTATTGTCTTGTTTATATTTTAATGTTATTATTTATGCAAACTTTGTTTTGGATTGTTGCCCCACTTTGCTTTATGTCCTGAATGTTACTTATTATTGTATTAGGGACTATTTTCTTGTGCGTAGCATTGGTTTCTTTGTTCGTAGTATTGGTTTCTTTGTTCGTGGATGTGGTGTGTCGACATGGAGGGACATTCTGCTGGAATGTCGAGGCCTGTGTGTTGAAGAGTTTCTTTGTCACGTTTATGTGGTGTATGGTAACGTAGGGTTATTTTTATAGTGTTTTATTATGTTTTCCATATTTTTGTTTGCTGATTTTGTATACAAAGTGACTATATACTAGATCTATTTAGTCTTGACTTTGAGAAGTTTCAATGTTTGTTTTATCCAGACCACGTGGTAGCACGATGGCCTGGGTTTAGTCATGGATTATTGTAGATTTTACTTTCATTTATGAGAGCCTCTTGTTTAGGCTGACAATTGTGTCAGCTTACTGCCTTGTGTATAACTTTTTTTACATTTTAAATTGATTTGTCTTATTTTTCCTCTTTCTAGGACGGTGGTCCGAAATTGGGTGTTTTGTTTCGTTGAGTTCTGTTTGTTTTGTATGTCTTGAGTGTTTTGTCTCGATCTAGATTCTGGTTTTTTATAATAACTTTTGGTTCCATATTTATTATTTTTTTAAATAAATTTTATATTATTGTTAAAGCTTTTTTTTGTTTTCATTATTTAGACTAAGGTTAGGTTATTAACCAGTCTGGGTTTATCCAGGCTTGCACTGACCGGACAGTAGTTAGTTAGATAAGCCTAGAAGAAGGGTAGATATTAGGTATCCCCCCTAGCAGGGCTTACATATAGATTGGCAGATCAGAGAAGAAACAATAATATACAAAGAACTACATGTGGTAAATACAGCAGTAAAAAGAATTTAAGAAAGAATGTATCACGTTACGATCAGAACTACAATAGCGTGAACAGATATACTTATGAAAGGTACCTAACGTAGAAATATTATGAGAGGCCAAGGCAAAGCCATAATATTTGTATTAAGTTGGTCGATAAACCAAGCGAACGAACACAAAGTGAGAAAACTACTGACATGAATCAGAAACTAGAAAAGAAAGAAATAATACAAATGCCCAAAGAGGAAAAGGAAGTAAAACAGATACCCAAAGAGAATAAAGAAAACGGTAAAAATGAAACAATTAGCAACAATATAAGTGAATTCAGACTAATTAAAAGAAATCAATTGAATTATCATGGTAGCAAGGCTAGAAGCTACACACACAATTTGAGGGAGAGATGGCAAACAGGTCGTCATCAATTACAGAAGGGTTGAAACTCATATGAATTATGAATTGATATCATGCTAAGTATCAAATTCATGAAAGGTTGAATAATAGTTACAGTCATTACTGTAAAAGTTAAGGACTATTTATATCGCATAACTATAAGACGGAAGTCTCAATGATGAATCATGTATAGGTCAGAGCCTTTTGATGGCAGGAATGTTGTTGATGTGTTGTGACCCACATGTGACTTAAATGGGTCAACTAGGGGAGACAACAAGAAAATCACTCAAGCGCGGTAATATAATGCCTTGTTGGTAAGGAAGGTTACCACTGAATATGTTATGATGATTTTTTATTGAGTATTAAAATGAGTTGATATGAATATGATAAGTTCTGTACCAATTTAGTTTGGAGACATATTTTACTCAATTGATGTAATGTTGTTTAAACTACAGTCACTTGGTGATTGAAATGTTTGTGTTTTTCCTATTTGAACATATTTATGTATTAACTATCACACATAATGCTTGTGCATTTTAAAGTTTTTTTTCAAACACTGACACATTTTATTTATCAGGTTTAAATCATCATTGATTATGTTACGGTTCTGTTTATGAACAAGCTGATTGTAATTTTTGGCCCACTGTATAATAAAATTTCTGAAAATTTTCTAAACACTTATTGATCTAAACATATTGTTATAAAACTTTTCAATTTAACAATCAAGAAATTACCTAGTGAGTGACAGAAACACTACATATTGTTGCATTTTTCTGCACTATAAACTTATGACTACAAATGTTTAGTCTATACTGAATGTATTTTCACTCTACTTTTTGAGATGTTCAAAAGTTTTTGTTGTCTTGCACATGATCCTGCCCTACTGACATTGTACTTGAAAATTTTGTTGCACAAAATTTTATTTGAAGAGGGGACGTGTAACAGACTGTACTTCTTGTATGATTTATTATATTGTATTTAGCATGAAGTTGTATGCAAGTAGAGTACCTGGCAAACGGAAGGACTGTGTGAGCTACTAGTCATGATTTTCGATGCTTTTTGTGAGATCGCTCACTGACGTTAGGGGAGATAATGTAGGGTATAAAAGGGGAGCGCAAGGTGGACTAGGTGTGCCTGTATAGTTACTGCATAGCGCCTGTATACAAGAATGTTGTAAGCTGTCACCACGTCACTCTGTTTCTGGATTGCATTTTGATTGCTGTTATTTCACTATGGATTTTCATTATTAATTCCTATGGATTTATTTTATTAATGTGAATAAGCTTGCATGTTGAAAGAACTGTTATTCGTATTCATTGAAGAACTCACAATAACACCGTATTGTCTACCAACACGCGTTGTTACACAAAGGTGCGTGCATGCATGCGTATCTGCAATCTATGTTAAGCTAGTACTTCTGTAGTTAAGTCTAGCCACATAAGAGACGCCCAGTTTAATGCTAGACTAGTATTTTAATAATCTCGAAATGCTCGCCTTGTTCAGTCATGTTCTAGATAGTGAAGATTTTATCTTGATAAGTTAGTATGGTGCCTTGTTGACAAGGTAGATTAACTTTTTTTGATCAGACTAGTTCTTTACCACGTGTGTCCTACTACTTTCATGTCGGGCAAGATGTGGCGTAGCTTGGGGAGGGCGGGTGGGGCAGCCGCCCCGGACGCCGACCAGATGGCCGGGCTTAAAAGGGTAGAAACATTAATTAAAAGCTCATTTTAAGCTGAAAGTTACCAAAATAAACAACTACAAGGCTTCACACACTAATTTAAGTATTCTCTACATCAAATTTGTGTCACTGGGATAGAAAATGTTACGGGATAGGAGCTGGTAAGAAGCGCCACAAAACGTTCAAACCAGTGGCGTAGCCAGGATCGTCTCAAGGGTGGGGGGGGGTTCCAATTTTTACCCGGGGACAAACTTTCGATTTGCACCACCCCCCCCCCCCTCAAACGTTCGTTTTGCACCCCCCCCCCCTCAAACGCTCGATTTGCACCCCCCCCCCTCAAACTTTCGATTTGCACCCCCCTCAAACTTTCGATTTGCACCCCCCCCCTCAAACTTTCGATTCGCACCCCCCCCCTAATCCCCCCCCCCCCCCGCCTACGCCACTGTTTCAAACTAGGATGAGCTCTTTTGCACAGAAAAGTATAACTATATATAGAAATATGAGAGAGGAGGGGGGGTCAAAATTGATAGTTCGCCCTAGACGCCGGAATAGATCGCTTCGCCTCTGCTTTGCCTCTCTAGATCAGGATAATATCTGAAAGTCACACTAGTGACTTGGTAATTCAACTATGAACCGAATGCTTGCAATTATTGTCAGCCTTGTAAATTTTTCAAGTCATTTTTGCACCTTGATGTATTAGCTATCTATCCTAGTGTCACAGGCGTTTCCTTTTATGAATCGTGTTGTAACTTGATATTAGACTATAATATTGATAACTTGAAGAGTAATTGGTGTATTTAAAAAACCTGAATAGTCCCTGAAATTATGTCACACTAGTACCAGGACAAATCAAGTTGACCTTATACTCGTCGAGATAATGCCAAAATAAGTCGAGAGGATAACTTGTCATGTTATCTTCGACCTCAGTGCCCAAAGAGCAGTTTATTAGGTCAGGTTGGTGCCATTTTAAATCTTTTTATATATATATATATATATATATATATATATATATATATATATATATATATATCTGACAGACTTACATGTATAGTGTAATACCCTGACAATAGGTGACGGATAGGCCTAACTAACCCGTAAGTCGTGAGTTTGAATCCGGGTTCAAGTCAGTAGACTGTCCCTGAGTCTATCCAACTCTGATGGATAATTCAAGTTAGCGAAAGTAGAGGCGGCTGGGCAAAGTGCTGACCACACTTTCCCTTCATATGCCGAGGTCACTAAAACAGGTGAACTCTACTTCCCCCGTAGACCGTCAGGTTTGAAAGGGAACTTTA